GAATATTTTTTTCCCAAAAAAAAATTGTCCCCTCGAAATTATTTAGTTTTGCCAATAACACAGTTTTCGGCAAGAAAAGTGTAGTTTCCTCTTGAAATTATCCTTTGTTCCATGGAAATTATAAGTGTTTATTGGACAAAGATATACACTACTCAATAACACTCACTTGATAAAACCGGAGCCTCATATAATTCTCTGTAGAACGAATGTATTTACCCGAATGACATATAAATGACTCACGAGAACAATTATTACTACGAAAATTATCACGTTTTGGTGGAAACTTTCTTTTTTGTCCACAAGTAAATTGATTCAAACCCAATTTTTTCTCTCAGTGTATTAAAATTCCGAGATAATTTTCAACGCGATCGAGCCGTCAAAATAAATAAATCACACGTAAATTTATGATTCCCAGAATGAAAAGGCCTCCTAGAATGACCCATAAACTGGAAAAACCCAAGACCCTGTGAACCGTTTCGCAGCATTGTACAATTCAACAGAATATTTTTACTCACCAGCTCAACGATTTTGATAAGCGAAAGTCTCGTAATGGTGACCATGATTATCTGTAATCATCAAGAATAATTATCATAACATATCCATGACATAATCCGTCTATTTTTAGACCAATTCGATGATACATCGATGGTGGCTCAGGAATACGCCCAAGGGTATTTCTAGCTTCAGACGAGAAAACATTGAATGGAGGATGGAATTCAAGGCAAGCAAATACTCCCTCCCTCCCCTCTTCCGGCCAAATAATTCGCCTCTGCTTATTTTCCATGCGCGAAGAAATTCTTATCTCCGAGTGCTTCGACTAGCAATGACTCATTAAACGAAAGATAATGATTTTTGCGCGTGTCGAAATCAGAGAAATTGATCGATAAAAAGTTTCCAAATGATGTCAGGTCCATTAAGAATTAACTATTGCAACTACGTTGCGTAGTTTTCGTACGGTCGAACTATCGACGTGTGGAATACTTATTATTAGTGACCTCATGATACCATTCACGGGGGGATTAATGAGGTCTTCGAGCCCGCGAAATAATTCAAGTGCTATCGATATTTTTTATTATTATTCATTCCCCTTTTTATATACATTTTTTTTTCGTATTCAAAGTATTCAATTATACACGGGGAACACATACCTGAATTGAGTATAAAATATACTTAAGGCAAGAATATTTTATAATCAATAGACCTTTTCATTCTGAGAGTCACTAGATTTGCGGACACTTTATCGAATTTAAATATTAATCATGGTTTTTGAGCGCTCAAGTGTATATCATTGCCCGAGTCGAGGATTTGGTTCTGATTGGACGTACACAGGTCTTTCAAGATCTCTCCAGACCTAGATGGACCTGGTAAGTCCTAATCAGTTGTACGACGTACTTTTCCAGAGACC